AATAGGCGCTATGATAGGCGCGTTGTCGTTGTCGTTCTACGCTGAAAAGCTGGGTCGGCGGCGAGTCATCTTCCTCGCAGCCATCATCACGTTCATCGGCCAGGCTTTGCAATGCTCAGCAACAACTCTTGCTCAGCTGATAGTCGGCAGAGTGATTATTGGGTTTGCAATCGGCCAGACAAGCGGCACCGTGCCGGTATGGCAGTCAGAATGTGCCTCGTCCAAGGATCGAGGACAGCAAGTCGTCTGTGTCGGCATCTTCATCAGCACTGGCTATTGGCTGTGCAACTGGATCGACCTGGGATTCAGCTTCCTTTCATCATCGACGATGCAGTGGCGAGCTCCCCTCATCATCCCATTCCTTTTCTCTGCAATCTTGTTGGTGTCCGTTTTTGCCTTTCCCGAGTCCCCTCGTTGGTTGGCTTCCAAGGGCCGACGGGAAGAAGCGATGATCAGCCTTGCGCAGTATCGCGGGAAAGAACCAACCGATATCATGGTCCAGCGTGAGCTCGCCGGGATAGAACTCTCGTTTGAGGGCACCGAAAGAGCTTCCTTGAAGGACATGTTCCGCAAAGACGATCAGGACCGCCTGTTCTACCGTTTCCTTCTCTGTATGGGACTCAACTTCTTTCAGCAAGTAAGGGTCCCCAACTTTCTGAACCCAAGCATCTCAATTAACTTCATAGGCCTGCGGCGGCAACCTCATCTCGGTCTACAGCTCCACCATCTTCCAAAACTACCTCAAAATGACCCCCACTACCGCCAAAATCCTCGCCGCGTGCGTGCTGATGTGGAAGTGCATCTGCTGCTTCATACCCTGCTGGACAATCGACCGGTGGGGCCGTCGCCTCAGCTTCATGATCAGCGGGGGCGGGATGGCCATGTGTATGGCCGTGCTGGCCATCACCACGGGTCTGGGGACCATCACGCACACGAAGGCGATCGTGTACGTCGCCTTCATGTTTGTGTTCAATTTCTTCTATCCCATCGGCTTCATGGGCGGCAATTTCCTGTATGCCACCGAGGTGGCCCCCGGCCGACTGCGGGCCGCCATGTCCTCTTTGGCGACGGCCAACCACTGGCTGTGGAACCTGGTCGTTGTCCTCGTCACGCCGGTCGCTATCGATACCATCGGGTATGGGTATTATGTGATCTATGCGCTGATCTCCGCCACAATCCCGGTCTGTGTGTATCTGTTCTATCCCGAGACGAAGAATAGGAACCTCGAGATGTTGGACCAGGTGTTTGCTACTGCGCCGTCGGTTTGGAAGGTGGTGAGTCAGGCTCGGGGCCTGCCGCAGGGTGAGCAGTCTGTTGCTCAGGTGGAGGAAGGAAAGGAGGATGCGGCTGGTGATGTAGAGATGCGCGAGTTTGTTTGAGAATGGTCTTTTCAGATAGGGGAGACCGAGGAGTTCTGGAAGAAGGATGAATGTATGGTGGATGAAGTGAGAAAGGAAGAAGGCAGGGTGGGGGGAGGAAAGTCCGCAAAGGGAAGCAATACACATAGCAATCACATGATGTCTCTCTTCCAACATTCTATCTTCTTCTGTTTCTACTTATCTCTCTCGTCCGAATGCCAGCGCATATAAGGTGGCACTATATCGGATTTGTGTAGTTTGGGATGTCAGCTCATGTTCTCCGACAGCGGATCTGGCCGAATGCGAGGAATCGTGATACTTTGCAGAGAAAACCGCTCACGCTACAAGCAATCCTACGATGCCAGTTTAGCGATTTCATCAGCCTCAACTCCATCACTCGGATCCTAGATTGCTTTCCCAGGGCTCACAAAGCCATGTTTACGTGATGTCCACTCACAACATTAAGCTTCCTGCACACGTAAGACTCTAATCGCCGCTCATCGGAACAGCCGACGGATGTATCCGAATTCACGAACGAATCACCACGAACTTAAAGCAAACGAACAATCGCGTACACAACGGCCATAAGCTTCTTTTTTCCGTCTTTCTCTCTTGCATGACACCAGTAACAAGAGAATGAGACAATGTCATCAATGTTAAGACTCGCGCGACTGAACAAGTCAGTCAAGCTCGCCAGAGGCTTTGCCTCGCATGCGACAGCACCCCTCAGTCGCCTGGAACACCAGACGGTCGATCTGCAGCAATTTCCTTCCAAAGTCGCAAACCTGAGAGATCGGTAGGCAGCGATTACAATGTATGTCTGAGAGTTGAGAAATAGGCTGACTTCTGCAGACTCAAGCGCCCCCTCACATACTCGGAAAAGGTGCTCTACAGCCATCTCGACGAAAGTTTCGACGAACCCATTACGCGCGGACAGTCGCAACTCCGCTTGCGACCCCTGCGCATCGCCTGTCAAGATGCGACCGCTCAGATGGCTCTAATCCAGTTCATGTCGGCTGGCATGGACGCGGCGGCCGTGCCCACAACCGTTCACTGCGACCATCTGATTGTCAGTCGTGACGGAGAAGACCAAGATCTGCCCCGTGCGCTGGAGGCGCATCGTGAGGTCTACGAGTTCATGGAGAGTGCTTGTCAGAAGTACAACATGGGATTCTGGAAGCCGGGAGCTGGTATCATCCACCAGATTGTTTTGGAGAATTATGCTTTCCCCAGCGGGATGATGATCGGAACGGACTCGCACACCCCGAATGCTGGTGGACTGGGAATGATCGCTATCGGCGTGGGAGGCGCCGACGCAGTTGATGTCATGGCAGGCTTACCATTGGAGCTGAAAGCGCCCAAGGTGCTGGGGGTACGACTGACCGGTCAGCTGTCGCAGTGGGCTTCCCCTAAAGATATCATCAGCACTGTCGTAGGATTGATCTCAGTGAAGGGCGGCACAGGCTCGATCATTGAGTACTTCGGGCCTGGTGCCCAGACGCTGTCCGCAACTGGAATGGCGACGGTGTGTAACATGGGTGCAGAGACTGGCGCGACGACGTCAATCTTCCCTTACTCGCCCCAGATGGCAGACTACCTCCGGTCAACCCATCGCAGTGCCATGGCTCGCGCAGTGGGAAGTGTTGCGCCAGAACTACGTGCGGATGAGGGTGCAGAGTATGATCAGGTGATTGAGATTGACCTGTCGACATTGGAGCCTCGCATCAATGGACCATTCACGCCGGACCTGTCTACTCCACTATCCAAGCTCGCTCAGACGGCTGAAGAGCACCAGTGGCCTGAATTGACAGCTGGTCTGATTGGTTCGTGTACCAATTCCTCATTCGAAGACATGGGACGTGCGGCGCATCTGGCTCAGCAGGCACTCGATGCCGGTCTCCAGCCGAAGATGCCTCTTCTTATCTCGCCCGGAAGTTTGCAGACCCGCGACACAATCGAGGATGCCGGTATTCTGCCTGTTTTTGAAAAGTTGGGGGCAGTCATGCTGCCTAATGCATGTGGACCGTGTTGTGGTTCCTGGGACCGCACTGACATGCCCAAGGTAAGTTCCGTCGTGGATCGCATCGATCTCCCAGCTCTAACCAACAGTGTGTAGGGCACCCCGAACTCGATTATCACCTCTTACAACCGTAACTTCTCCGGCCGGCTGGACTCTAACCCAGCCACGCACATCTTCCTCACCTCACCCGAGCTCGTGATGGCGAAGGTGTTCTCCGGAGATCTCTCGTTCGACCCCACAGTCGACACGCTCACCACCCCCTCAGGCGAGACCTTCAAATTCCAGCCTCCCACCGGCGACGCCCTCCCCAAGGACGGCTACAAAGAATCCAGCTCCGCCTACCTCGCTCCACCAAGCAAGCGGGACAACCTGGAGGTCAAGATCTCGCCATCCTCCCAGCGCCTGCAACGGCTCGCCCCGTTCGAACCTTGGCACGGCAAAGACTTCGATGACTGTGTCGTTCTCATCAAGACAAAGGGCAAATGCACAACTGACCACATCACTCCTGCAGGTCCCTGGTTCCGCTACCGCGGCCACCTGGAGAACATCTCCAATAACACACTGATCGGCGCCGTCAATGCCGAGACCGGACAGGTCAATTCCATCCGCAACCAGCTCACCGGCGAGGAAGGCCAGGAAGTCCCCGCCACGGCGCGGTACTACAAGAGCCATGACCAGCCGTGGGTGGTCATCGCCGACCACAATTACGGCGAGGGTTCCTCGCGCGAGCACGCCGCGCTGCAGCCGCGCTATCTAGGCGGGGTGGCCATCATCGCCAAGTCGTTTGCCCGGATCCACGAGGCAAATCTGAAGAAGCAGGGTATGTTGGCGCTGACTTTTGCAAAGGAGGCCGACTATGATCGCATTCACGCATCAGATCGTGTGAGTATCCGCGGTTTGGCGGAGTTGGCGCCGGGGAGGAACTTGACGCTGCGGGTGACTTCAGCTCAAGGGGATGTTTGGGAAGCGGAATTGCAGCATACGTTCACTGAGGAGCAGATTGGGTATTTCCGGGCGGGGAGTGCGTTGAATTTGATGAGTGGAGGAGTGAACAGTTCATGATTTCTTGATGGATACCGTTATCACGTTAACCTGTTTGCTAGGGGAGTTCGGACTTTCTGGAATAAACCATAGGGCCTCTGATTTTCTAACATCTTTTGTGTCAGCAAGTAATCTTTAAATGGGAACTCGGATTTGCAGTGCATGAGTTCTTACATCTCGAGAGGTAACCCTTCATAGACAGTTCAGGTTTCCATACTATCATACCAGAAACGGCGATCACTATCATCACTGGGCTGAGAAAATATTACTGTGTCGTGGGAGACCCAAGTCTGGCGGGCCATGATATCCTCAGGTGCTAAAATCATCACTTATTCCCTGCTGTAACAACTCCCAAAAGCTTGTCTCAATACCTTGCAGAGGCCATATTTCGGGGGACAGATCTGCATCGAAGAATGGAGGCGCTGACGGCTCAGATGCAGCGCTACTATCATCATCTGCCTGTAATACGTCTCCAGGTGCATCCTGGGAAATGGTATCCTCGGCATGCCGCGTGGAAGAAAGGTCCGGTCTTGTTGTGGTCTTCGGTACGAGGTCCGGGTCCTCGACTGGCCTGGCGGAGCCGCTGCTGCTCATGGCTGGCCAATTGATGTCATACGATGATTCCTGGGGATTGGTCCCAGGTTTAGCTTCCGACAGCGTGGTCATGACCCGGTCTATGCTAACATTGATGGAATTCAGAGCCCACGGTCGAACATAGATAGTTCCGAGGTACGGAACATAAAAGGTGATCCATGGCCTTTCTGGATCTCCGCCAAAAACTAGTCCCCTCCGACTAAAACCACTATCTCTGGAAAGTACGAGGGGGACCAACCGCGCGATGAGAGCTGCAAAAGTCCCGAGAGATTTTGTCCTTGCACGTCTCGGCCACGAGGTGTAGCCTGTCCCGAGCGCTCTGTGCTAGTTGAAGGTCGTCTCGCCGCTGCGCGTCCGGGTTGGGGTGGCCTGCCTCGAGGTGAGGTGGCCGGTTAGCCACGTACCCCAGTAACAGCGTCATAGCAGCGATTAACGCACTGTGGTCGACGTGACGACAAGCAGCGGCTGAGGGATGGAGCGTACGGTATGGGCTGAACAGTCGCAGGATCGATCGGGCGGATGTGGCGCACGAGGCCCGGCTGTGGTCGTAGCGTCCGCCTTGTCGACCACTACTAAAACTAGACTCACGCCGAAGCAGGTAAGGTAGGTGAAGATAGAGTTTCAACGTGTGGTGATGAATTTGGAGCAAGACATGAAAGCTGGAAGTCAGGTCCTGCTTCTTGATTGAAGGCAGATTCCACCACTCCAAGCCCATTTCCTCGGCTGTTGTATCGAGTTTTCCGTCGATGAGGTGGGTTAACGAGAAGGCAGCGTGGTCATCTTTGTTGATCATTGCGTTGCGCTCGAGGATGCGCCCGGTGAGAACTGTCTGGGTCTTTTCGAGCCGTTCCATCTTCGTTTCCGGGCTATTACTAGATGTGGAATCTGCAAAACTATTATCCTGCAAATCTGGGGGTCGACCAAGCAATAACGAAAGGTATCTGTCGAAGAATACCACACGATACCATAGCCACCGGGGAGAGACTCCCATCCCAGGAGGGACGGTCTTATCGTGGGTGGGGACGTGCGTTTGGATTCTATTGCGTAAATCCAAAAGCTGTAAAACATTGACAGCGCGACGAGCAGTCAACCAAGTCCGTCGCAGGCTTCCAGCATTAAGCTGAAATAAGGCAAGCAGCACAAGACATTCCACGCCATCGAGGGAATGAACCAGGTCATCACGCGAAGTCACCAGCTCCATGACCGTGGTGACATTCTCCGCAGCTGCGCCCTTCAGAGACGTTTGGTTTTCAAGAGATAGGCAATTACATTCAGGTGGGAGTTGCTGCACGCAAATTGCCAGTTGCAGCAGCCGCTTCGCAAGAACGATTGGGTGAGACTCTCTGAAAGAGCGCATGGCGATGGCTGTGAGCTTCTGAAACCGGCCCTGGGATATTTCTTCGGATGTGTGGAAGAACGTAGAAACCAGTGTTGCTCCGGGGCTAGCTACCACCAATGCCATCGTAACCTCGGGGGTGGTAGGAGATCAAATAATGTGATGCGGAGCCTTTCGTGCTTGCGATATCGAGGGTTGTGCACCGGTCTTTCAACTTGAGATGGTTGAGGCGTGTCCAGGATGTCCCGGATGTCCAGCATGGCTCCCATGGGAGTTTCTTCCACGGTCCCCGAACTGGGAACATCATCGATCGTCGTATGGGTATTGGATCGAGCTCCTCGTGAGGGTGGCAGGGTAGTTCGTTGTGAACTTTCCGAACTCGCAGATCTTCCATTAATTGTTAATGAGTTCGAAAGCCCCCTAATCTCTCCGGCAAGGTTCTGAACAATCGCCTCCAGCCGTTTTAGACGGTCCACAATCTCTCCGTCTTGCCGTGGTGGTGAAGGTGATTTGTCAGTGTCAATCTCCACGAGATCCTGACTGACGCAGGGAGTCCCCCTGGCACTACAAGTAACACAGACAGAGTCAGTAGATGTGGCAAATTGACATCGTATCTTCCGTCGTCGACCTAAGCCACATAATCAGTGCTAACCCATCAAAGCCTTTGGCCCACAAACAAACATTCCCGGCAGCTGTGAGTTCCTTTGCGGACTCTTCTTCTGTGCCCAGTGAGACGAGCCTCGCGCGTCTCGGTCACCATAGTCAGATGCAATGTATTGAAAGAGGAGTAAGGTCGAGCGCAGTACAATTGTGCCTGGTTTAAGGTTGATCTGTTGTAAAGCCTAAAAAAGGGAGGGTAGCTACGCATATAACTTAAAGACACGGGGACCCGCACGGACCCGCAGCTCCGTGCATCAGTCGGTTGCTCTATGGCTTACTAATTATGCATCAATCGATCTAGACCCTCGGTCGCAGTAGTTACTACGTAGGTAACAATCTTCAGTGGATCATCTGAGCAAAAATGTACTATGTACACTATGAAAACGAGTACTAACAATCAAGTACTGTACTCCCATGTTCGTACGTACTGCAGACTTGCTGACTGCTCAATCCACCAGACCAATAGTCAAACTTGTTAATCCCACTGCTCTCCACTCCATATCTTCTTCGTCGTCCACAGAAAATAATCGCGCCCCTTGAACAGCCAAACCAAAAACCCGGGCAATTTATACCCCATGATCGCTCCCACACCCCCAGCCGTCCCAATCGGCACGATCTGTGTCTCGCGCGTATCCTCCTTGAATACAGAATCTCCGTCACCACCACCGCCTGCTCCTCCAATCTCACCCAACAACAAATCCCGCTTGATGTTGGCACAAAGCACGGGCACAGCCTGCAGAATCCCATGCACTGACGGCCGCGCCGCGTAAGAGGCCGCATCCCCAATCGCATAAACTCTCTTCCCCGCATTCTCCACGCGCAGCGTCGAATTTGTCTCGACGCGACCATTGGAAGCCAGAAGACTCGAATCCAGAAAGCCGGTGTTGGGCTTTGTACCCGTCACAGGAATGTACACATCCGCGGGGAGCGTCCGCCCGTCTTCCAGCGTCACCGTCGCAGCCACTGCATCCTGACCGGCGTTCTCAGGATGGACACTCTGCACGCGGGCGTTTTTGATGACCGACACGCCAACTTCAGCGAGTAGCCACTCGGCTTTAGTCGCGAGCACCGGATGCAGGGCCGGAAGAAGTCTGGAGGCGGATGTGACGAGGGTAATGTGTATGTCCGGGGGCTGGTTCGGACTGCGTCCCAAAGACATCCACCCGCTGCGGTGGCGTCCGTTCAGGTGCTCTCCCAGCTCTCCGGCTGTTTCTACACCTGCTGGTCCACCACCTGCGATCACGATAGATTTGGCGTGTGGCAGGGTCTGTCGGATAGCGGACCAGCTCTTTCGGAGGTCGACGGCGTCTTGGTTGAGGCCGAGGGCGGACGAAGGGGTAGATGCGCCGGTGGCGATGACGAGGGCCTGGTATGCGAGAGTCTCATGTCCTCCGTCCGAGGAGACGAAGATTGAAACGCTTCTCTCGGTGTGCGTTACTGCAGTCGCTGTTCTGTGGATAAATTGGAAACTGCCATCGGAGTAATGGGCGAACATGCTGCGGATGTCGACAAAAAGCTTTTGCTGGTCGAAATACTCGTCGGAGATCAGAGCACGTGGGGAGGCTTGTCGACACATGGCTTGGGATGATGCGCTCACAAGGATGACTTGATAAAGCTCCGGGGTGGGCAGCTTGGGAATGACATTTTTTAACAGGTAGTGCGCTGTCGAGACACCGCCGTACGATCCTCCAAGGACGACAATAATCTTTTTGGGGGCCGCGTCAGGCATTTGGAAGAAGGAGACGAAAGGCTTTGACGATTGTAAGTGACCGAAAACCTGAGGAAATCTTGAATGTAGACGCTCGATCTCATATATACCTTCTACAGCCGGACTATTCGTCCGAATGGCTTCAGCAGAGACTCGGATGAATTCGTCCGAATTCGTCCGTTCAAGGACCAAAACACAGAAAATGCCCCTCAAACACACACATTTGTCATTATTCATAGTGCAAATCAAAGATAATCCCTTCTGCAGATATTCAAACAGTCTAAGATACCACAAACCCCACTCGCATGTTCACCTATACACCATGCGTTCATATCTATTAGACATCATCCATGCCGCCACACCCGACCGACAACCCAAAAAACCCAAGCCAATGCAGTATAACCGGTATATATCCTTTCTACCGGCGACCGGTAAATCAAACCCGAAAATCATAAACAATAAGAAATAAGAGATGGAAAAAAAAGAGGTATAGCTGTATGTCCCAAGACTCAGTCGCGAGCATTCCAGGTTGTGTCAGAGTGCCTGGTGGCACCTGATTGGCTGCCCAGCCACTACCCCCGTGGCTCAGCTGCAGAAAGTGCCATGAGGTCATTCTCCAATTAGATAGGGGAATCCATCATCTTTCACGTTCCTCGACACATTGCGATTTTTCAAGTCAATCGATCCTAAGAACGCTCAACATGTGCGTCCAATTGCCGGATATGCTGCGACTATCATCCGTTAGCCATTATCAATGAATCGCGACCGTCCATGAATCCTGCAACCACTAAGAGACAGGAAGCCACAACGAACCAATTGTACATCAATGTCTCGAAAGTAATAAAATAGTGCGTCAGTTGGTAGATGCGTGATCAAGTCCGACGGGGCGACATGCTGTGTATGAGAGTCGACAGATCTTGGGTGGACAGGAACTGGATCTACAAGACACATACATAGTAAGAAGTAATTAGCTTAGATCTGAGGGATACTGCGGAGTAGAACCAGAGTATGGATGGGTCCAACAAACCATGGTGGAGCTGCGGAGGGGAGTGACGGCGGCCATAGTGACGAAGGTAAAAGTCGTAGAGCACAAGTAACGATGAAGGAGCAGTCGCAATCAGTGTGACGAGCGCGATGACTGTTTCCGGTGACCAGGAATGCATTGTTGCAGTCTGATCTCGCGGAGAGGCTGGGCTTTGTGGTTATGATACTTGAGGAATATCTTGAAGCTTAGGTCAACTAGCGAGGGCATCGGAAGATTTATATGTGCACTATTGCGCGGGCTATTCTGAGGCATAGACGCAAAAGCGAGTATGTTGTTAGCAAAAGTGCGGGCCGCAGGCCATAGACTGATTACTTCTTTGGGAACAAAGAGGGTTAGCGCACTTCGGGCTCATATCACCTACGTTGGAGGGGTATATAGTATATGAACTGGGATGTACTAATTACTCGGTACTTTTGCTTTCAGTAGGCACAGTTGCTGTCACTGATTTCAGTGTTTGACGGCCACCCAGCTTACCCGACTAGCATCAACGCTACAATGTGGCTGAATGCGTCATTGCTGTCGATGATTGGTAGACATTCTGCACCACAGTTCAAAATGTGACTTCCTGTCGAATCACCGCTCGAGGTCACGCCAGGAGGAAGAAACCGCGGCCCCTTGCTGCTGTCACTCGTTTCCCATTGCTGTTGATGATTCTGGGAAAAGGCTCTGCACCTCAACTCCAGCACCCCATCCCCCGCTCGACGTCGCGCCAATCACGTGACCTACCTAATGTCTACCCCCAACCCCTGACAGACATTCAAGGACCAATCTTTACTAGGAGACAATGACTGTCGACAAGCTCTCGGTAGCAAGCTAATTCTAAATTATGGGTGAAAGAAAATCACGGGCTTGACTGGGAACCGTGGACGGCCCATCAAAGGGAAGCGGGTATTTAACCTCGAGATTGACAAGTCGCCCTTGTTGAAGGTATTTAGGTAACGTTCTAGTCTACTCCGCACTCACTGCACCACTGCGCACAAGAGATTGCTCCCCGTTGGAGCTTAGCGCTCACTCCATCCCATAAAAATATTCATTAATCGAGCGTGAGAAAAATTAGTATATACTCTATCATAAACCTCATGCACAGATACACTCATCTGGAATGCAACACCAAACATAAGAAAAGTACGAGACGAAAGCCTCGCTAAAGATATCATACACAAAGAACGCCAAAGAGCAAAGCAATCAAGTCAAGATCTGACGACTATAAACAGGTATCATGAGTTCGTCAACAACAAAAGAAAAAGCAAAAACTAAAGCTCAAGTCTTCAGATGTAAAGTCAGGGTGACCTGATCCCCCTCCGACATGGCGGCACTAGTCTCCAAGATGGCCGCATCGCAGAGATTGTGCACCAGCTTCTTGAGGTTGGCCCGCGAGCACCGCACCGAGTACTCGATCCCGTGGTTATCCAGGACCGTACTGGCCGGGGCTACTAACCCGGTGGTCAGGTCCATCGGCTGCGGGGTGGACACCAAGCCCGGGGCGGCGTCGGGGGTGGATTTCTCCGACTCGCTACCGCTGCTGGTTGTACTTCGGGAGGAGGAATTGGTGGTGGTTGTGGTGGTGATGGTCGTCTCGCCGGACCCGGGGTCGATCAAGCTCTGCCAGACCTCCCATTCTAGCTGGTTGGCGTCCGACGAGTGATGCGTACCGGTCGTTCCGTCCCCGCCGCCGGGGACCAGCACGGTGGTGCTGGGCGGCGTGGTGAAGAGGTCGTGGGTCTGGTACTGCACGTCGTCACCGAAGGCGGTGCCGGTCATCGTGCCGAAGATGTTGGTCAGGTCCATGTAAGAATTGGAGCGGCTGCTGGGACGCGTCGTCGGCTTGCTGCCCTCGGAGATGGAGCTGTGGTGCGAGCTCGCGTACGAGGTGCTGCCGCTACTGCCACTGCTTTCCTCGGTCGGGGTGGGCAGCATCCCCGTGGCGCGGGGGTCTATTCCCAAATCGAAGTATGGCGTGAAAGGGGTCTGCTGCTTGCTGACGCTGTCTGTAGCGTTTGTGGCAGTGGTAATGGTGGTAGCGGAGGATGACAGCGGTCGGGGTTGCTTGGAGATCGAGCCCCGACGTTTCAACCGTCGCATCAGCAACGAGTAGCGGTTTTTGAGGGCTTGTGGGGCACGAGACCCAAGGAAGCTGTTGGCCATGAACTTCCAGTTGCGGCCGTAGATGTCGACGAGCTGCAGGAGAAGTTGATCCTGTGAGAGTGGCAATTAGCCGGAGTGCTTAAAGATGATGATGATGATCGTTGTGCTTCGGCTTCTTGCAGTCACTGCGTTCCTCACGTACATACCTCCTGTGGAGTCCATGGACTGTGGTCGAGATCGGGGTTCAGATTCTCGTTCCACCGCTTAGCGCATTGATCACCATTGCGGGTCGCCACGGCCGCGGCAACCACCACCCAGCGGGTGCCATACTGTGCCACGGCTTCTCGGAGTCTCTCGTCCTCATCCGGGGACCAGGTACCGGTGTTGAGGCTGGCCGGGGTAAATGAGTCCCTGCAGAGGGGCATGGTGTATCTGCATATCAGTGGGGTAACAGTTCCGAGAAAGAAGAAAGAAACGTGGCCGAACGCTCACACTAGCGAAGAAGGTTGAAGTCTAGCGTTAAGAAGCAGGGAAGAGAAGGAAACCGTGCAGAAGCAGCTGGGGATTCATGATGCTTTTGTTCTTTTTCTTCGATAGCGCCAAGCTGGAAGTTGATTCCTGTCTCGAAGGATGGTAAACTCCGTAACGACGAGAATGGTGAGATCCTTCAGGCGTACTGTATTTGAATCCCTGTCATGGGGTAAGATACGACAAAAATACAACGAGAAACCAATCAAGCACAGCAGAAACAGGCGAATCCCGGCGGAGAGTAAACCCGTGTCATGACGAGGGAGCAAGTGGAAGATCAAAGTCGGAGGATGAACAGGGCTCGGCTACGGGACGTCGGGGCTTATTTTGGCTATTTTGGCGGTTTTTGGCGGTTTTGGGTGGCTTATCGAGAGCCGCACAGGACAGGCAAATGCCCGAGTTCATCCTTCGGAGGGGCGGGAGAGCCCGGCAACAACGCCACCTTATTTACTCTCTGCCAATTTCACCGTGAAGGATCTGGACTCTTCCCCTCGTGGTTTGGCTCCCTCCACGTGTGGTCGCTCCCTTCTAGTTTACCACAATCCTGGTGACTCTGCAGGCCTCATCCTATGCAGTAATCTTCACGATCTGCAGACCCAGTTTCGGCAGACTGAAACATTCACGAGCTGCAGCATAGTTCTAGCCTGCAACATCGCCCACCTAGCAATTCAACCTGGAGGCCCCTACTAACCCTATCTATGCCAACGCTGTCCTCCAAAATAATCCAATATCCGGCTACCCAGAGAAAAGGTTTCAAGTTGCCTGTAACCTCATTGCCAACCAGGCTCTGTGGCAATCACTTAGTATTAGGTTATCACCTTCAACAAGAGATTCTACCGAACCCTGCAGATGCCAATCCGCCATGCTTTCCAGAAGGCTTGACTTTGTTCTTCCATCGTCAGATTTACCCGCGCGCTTCCGCACCAGACCAGTGGGATTCTCAAAGTTCATTGCGAAGACCCTGCAGACCGGGTTAACCAGAGTCAAGTCTCTGTATTACCTTCGGGGCGAACAGCCAAGGTATGCACGCTATGCAGCTTATTGCCCGTATGAAGTATTTGTCTCATCGCTCACTTCCTCACGGATTGGAATGCGACGGTCGGGAAACAGAAGAGAAAGGTACCGTTCTTCGTCAGCTACCGGTACGCAGTGCAACGGCATAACAGTAGGTAGTACTGCAGACTCGAACTTGACTCGAGATGGTGGCCGAAGGCCACCATTCTTAATTTCTGCTGATGGAGGAGCTGTTGCGACTGTGATGCTGTCTTTGCTTTCAGCTAGATCAGTATCCGAGCCCATGTGCTAACCGTGCAGATTGTAGCTGTCGTTGCTGGAGCGACGCTCATCAAAGCCACCAAGGAAGAAAGAATGAAAGAACGATAGCGACGCCACCATCCCATGCAACCTCGAAGAGATCCAGCTCCTGATGTCGCACTGAACTTGACCACCAGAAATTAAGATGGTTCCATCTCAGTCTGTCCACAAGCACCACCTAGCCAATACCGCGTTAGCAATTGCAGAATCCGTGTTCTTTTTCGTGAAATCGTAGAGCTTAGACGCGCGAATGTTCAGAGTCTTCCCATCGTAACCCGCTTCCAGTACGCGGGCATGTCGGGGACCCATGAGAGACACCACCAGGATCTAAACCAAATGCAAGGTGAGCAAGCTTGTATGAAATTCCCACCAGGGAGAGAATATTCCTTACTGGGGCAACAATATGCGGGCGCAGTGACTTTGTCCTCAGCCTCGCAGCCATGATATCGGTGAAGGTCATAATTTCACCGCGAAGCAATCGGTCATCTCCAACTGCGTCGCTTTCTAGCATGACTTTGAAGTGTGGACAATTGCCCGTCCAATAGTCGGTAACTGATACGGCATACTAGTTAAATCTTGCAGCCTCAGCAATTGGCCGAACTTGTATTCCCCAATCCTGTATGTCAGATTAGTCAAAGGGATAGTCCCATCAAAGGCTAAGATGGCTGTGGAGGCATGACATACTTTCGATATCCACCAGAAGGCCGAGGGTTATGGGGGTACTTCAGCGCTGCGTATCTCCCGCACTTGTAAAATTGCTTAGTGAGGAAGAGCTCCATAGCCCGAGCTTCCCACATGATGCGATCTGGGTCGGGCTCGAATCCCAGCAACTCCTCTTCGTTCTCCGGGAGAGGCAGTTCCTCTTGGTATGGCTGAAAGAAGCGCGGATGGTGCAAGGCGTTGTCCTCCTCAAGACATAAGGTCAGATGGCAGATACCAGCCGCCTCCAGAACAGAGGATTCAACATGCATAGTTGGGGTGTTCTTGATCAGATTCTCGATTCTGGCTAATGCGTGGCGGCGATCAGCTCGCTCCCGCATGAGAGCATCATCCGTCATTAGTGATAGCTATGTTATATTACTTAGAGAACAGAATAATAGGATGAAGATGAACAAAGGGGAGTAGACAAAGGGGCCAGCGAGCTTGATGAACTGGTGGAAGATGAGTGAGAGGAAGGAAGGGATTCGGATTCTCTTGTTACAGGCGGCAAGGGCGGGCGCGCGTCCCGGGCTGAGGCAGCAGAGCCAGATGGAACTGTTCAACAATTGTAGTACTTAAAGTAGTGGGTCACCACTTACGTTGAAGTCCTTTATTCTTCCGACACAATATAATAATCTCGATGTAAGCACTTCCTAAGCCGCTTGGAAACAAAATAATGCAGAGTTTCGAGGAATATGTCGGAGAATGCGTGTAATGCCGTCTGAAATGTCGCTTGAATTGTCATTACAACTTGCAATTGTGATGTCTAGTTCGATCGTCTTTGGAACTGTGGTCGACATATTGCTTGCCCATTAACCCTAGCGGATTACTTGAATAGCCTTGGGATAATTACTCCAGGAGTCGCATTAGATGCTATGCTACAAGCTGCAGCGTATAGTGATGCCGCTCGTGTTGCCTTAACAGTTGCCTGAAATTATGCCTGAAAAGCTGGTTGAAAAGTTGCTTGAAACGTACGTCAAGTTGAATCGCCACGTTGAATCACTCTTGAATCATTGTTAAAGAATCCCTTACTAGATTATCATAGCAGCTTACTTTCACAGTCGTATACAAGATCCTTCGAATATAAAATCGGATGATATGCTGAAAGATCCAGCCTGAAATGTCACTCGAAACATTGACTGAAATGTCATGATGAAATGAAACGAAACGTCCCGTCCCACCGCGTTACATTCCATCCACTACGAATCCGGCCGAAACTATTGCCTGAAATCTTGGCCCTAAATCGCCCATTTCCGAGCCCCGTGCCAGTCCGGCCCGAACCCAACTAAGCCTGGAAGCCTGTGCGCATACTCTTAAAATCAGTTGATTCGTCTAACGTATGCTCATTCCTATCAAGAACACAAATCTCATACACAAAACAGTCGTAAACAATCTAAGGTATATCTATCAAGTCAAAAATCATTCCATCTCTTCCAATTCATTAAATAAAGCCCATTAGTGTCTCATCGCGCATCATGTTTCATCAATCCAGATCCAAAAAAAATCAAATTTCAATCACCTCCTTGTAGAAAACATTAGGATCCAACATTTTGCTCTTCGCACATGGATATATGCATGGTAGAAGGGAATCAAGAACCACAACAATCAAAACAGTCAAAACAGATAAAAGGGGGTGTCTCAGAAGGGAAATTCGCAAATTATACGGTGCGCGTTGAGGAGATCTCCCCAATCGCCGGTCGCCGGTCTATGGATATCTCTTTACGAGGTGGTTTATTCGAACTTGGTGCAGGTGCGCTGGAGAGGGTGCGCTCGGTTGTCGGGGTGTTGTGCTGCTCGTGTGGATTGCACTCTTGGTCTTGCGTTTGAGCTCAAGATTGACATCGTCTAGGCCTTGTTCTGCACGTTCTTGGACATGGCGCGGATCTGGTGGCCGTACTTGTACAGCAGGAAGGGCATGGGCGCCATGATGGTGGCCAGGATACCGACCAGCGTGAGCACCCAGTGCGGGGTCATGTGCTGGTACATGGGGATCGAGGCGGGCTGCAGGGCACCCGAGATGACGTACCGGCTGAAGGTCATGAAGCCCAGCGCGGATCCGGCGTAGACGGTGTACACGAAGACAATGTACAGGTAGGTCGCCGTGAAGATGGTGACCAGCGAGTATCCGAACACGAAGGTCGCGATGATGGGGGACCAGATGCTGATGTCCGACTGGGATGCGTTAGTATTGAATTGTACACTGCATTAGCAGAATGGGGGAGACTTACGTAACAGGTCCAGCCCATCCAGAACAAGGAGATCGGCATCAAGAAAGAGCCACCAACCATGGCCCAGTACAGAGACACCTCGGCCTGCAGAGCGGTGCCGTTGGTCGCAGCCTTGACCGCCGCCTTCTTGGTCCAGCCGTAGATCAGCGGAATGAGCAAGATGGCGACAGCATCACCCGCCAACATGGCCACCCAGATGATGAAGGTGAGCGAGTTGGAGATGCCGTAGGTCTGCGTGAAGATGAAGGGGAATCCATTCAGGAAGGTGAAGAGGACAATGTACAGCAGGATCAGGTAGAAGGAGAAGAGCAGGACGATGGGCTCCGTGATGGTCATCTGGAAGGGGCGGTAGACGTTGACAAGGAGACGGCTGCCCAGCGAGCTGGTGGAAGCAGACTCGTCGACCTGGTAGCGGGAGTCTCCGGTGGCAGCACGCAGGTGCTTGGCCCTCCATGACAACAAGGTGGGACCGTAGGTCTCGGGCTGGAACATAGCGACAAAGACAAGCACGGCACCGGCAATAATGAGGGAGATCCAGTCGGTCCAGTTCGACTTGTCGGCAGGGATGTAGGCACCGATGATGGGGCCGAGAATAGGACCCGAGTACGAGGCCATGGTCACGAATGGCAGACTGAAGGTGACATCGAGAGGACCCCAGATATCACCCACGGTACCACCTCCGACCGTCAAGGGGGCAGCACCAAAGAAACCCTGGATGAAGCGGAAGACAATGGCGGCCCCATAGTTGGGCGCCAAGGCCTTAGCCAGGATGAACAGCATGAAGACAATCAGAGTGATGAAGTAAACCGCATTGCGGCCAAATGTCTCCGAGAAGGGTCCGGCGAAGAGAGAACCCACACCCACGCCAATGAGGTACATTCCTGCAACGATTAGCCTCAACCCCTGCATTAGTGGAAAGGGGTCAACTCACCAGTGACCATGGTACCGGCAATTTCACCGACGTGGTACTTCTCGTTGAAAGCAGCCGAAATGGGAGCATCGATGGTACCGGGGATACTGACAGCCAGGGCGATCAGACAGACCGTGGCTGTACAGATCCATTTTCTGGCACGGGTCCAGTTCTGAGGGTTGAGGGGATCGCCCTCCTTCCAGCCAACGACGTAGGTGACGGAGCCATCGTTCTCATTGGGGCGAGATAGTTCAACGCCAGGAATGAGAGCCCTCTCCTTCTCGTCCGGAGTGGAGGTGCCGGAGGATGAGCCACCGTCAGGTAAGGTGTGGGCTCTAGTCACATCCTCCCTGGCGGCATCTCGCAGGCTGATATACTGACGAAGGGTCGCCATAGTATAGGTGGGATATCTGGGATATCTGGGATATCAGATAATTCAAAGGTAGATAAGGATGATGATGAGAGTGGTATGATTGAAATGCTCTGGTCAGACATATTGAGGAGAGAAGCCGTCACTTTGGAGCAAATATATACGGACTGGAAGACCCCTGTGCTTGGTAACCTGGTGATGTGTAAAGTGGCCGAGACGGATTGATACTACCTAGGGTTGGGAAAGGTTCAGAATGGGCTTACAAGTCCCTTACAGTGGGTGGTGGGAAGATCGACCGGAACGGGATTGGAAAGGGTGAAAGCCGACCAGTGACAGCGGTGTGAAATGCCCGACTGCTGCACTGTCGGACTCTCCGTCGGACTCTCGGACACTTTTGGAGGGGCCATTCGAGACATTGTGATTGGTAGAAGTCACTGCATCAGCTCGACATGAATCAGCTGGATGACTAACCCCAAAAGTGTCCATGGCTTTTCCTGTTCCGGCCAGCAACGGGCCAATTCGTGCCCGATTGTCGCCGCCTATCCCTACTTTATCTCGTGATGGTCGCCCTGTCGCGCGTGCGTGATCACTAGTCCCTAGTTTCTAGCTAGTGGTCTGGATCTGACTCGATTCTAGTCCTGAGTATCCTGACTCTGGATCCAGACTAACTGCTATCCCGACATGGAGTTGACTTGAATTCGAGGTTCAACGACACTGCAGGTGTTATCGGGGTAGTTCAATTCACCATGGGAACACATCATCTATATAAGCCCTAACTCGATGGGAAGAAGACGCAACCATCAACATCAATCACAACCACCACCACCACCAGATCGAGAGGCAAATTGAGGCGGGTGACAAGCAACATTCCACGGGCCAAGACACGTCGAACCACTTTTTTTTCTTAGCGACATCACATCCCACCACCCATTGACACCCAACCACACCCGTCAGCCACTAATTACCCGAACGATGTCGTCCGAGACCGTCCACGTCCCGCTCAACGTGCTGGACCATCTGCACCGGCCCAACTACGTCAAGCTGTGCTACTACTTCTCGCTCCAGCCCGGCACGACCCCGCTGGATGTCTTCGAGGACCTCGGCAAGGGTCTGCACCAGACCTTCGTGCAGGTGCCGTGGCTCGGGGGCAAAGTCTTCCGCCAGTCCCCCGACACGCCGGGGTACCGCCCGGGGCAGCGGGAGCTGCGGTACAACCCGGCGACGACCGCGCCGGTGGACGGGCCGCTGCCGCACCAGCTGCGCTTCAACGAGCTGGAATCGGACTACACATTCGCGGAGCTGCGCGAGGAGGGGTTCCCCAGCGACGCCTACGACGACCAGGAGCTGCTCAATGTGCCCATCGAGGGCAACCTGGACACGGGCTGCGACGTCTTCGTGGCGCAGGCCAACTTCATCCCGGACGGGTGCGTGCTGTGCATGTCGACCTGCCACGCCGCCATCGACGGCACTGCCATGGTCACCGTGATGAAGCTGTGGGCCGATAACTGCCGCAGCGTGTTCGACCCATCAGAAATCCTTGAGCCCTTCCCCGCCGAGAGCTCCGACCGCACCCTCCTCGACAAGCTCTGGGTGCCGCCCAAATCCGGCCCCATCGCCCTCCACGACGCCGACGCCTGGACGCGGGGCCTGGTCGGCCTGCGCCCCAGCGAGGGCTCGACGACCCCCATCGACTTCCAGAACTGGTTCGGCAACGAGCACCCCAAGCCGCCGCGGCAGATGAAGAACCGCACCTTCTACATGTCGGCGGCCAACATGACGGCCCTGCAGAAGGAATGCGAAGCCTCCGCCACGGCTGAAGAAAGCACGACCACCGGACCCCTCAGCGGCAACGACGTGGTCACGGCGCTGATGTGGCGCAGCCTGGTGCGGGCGCGGGCGGCGGCGGCGGACGAGACGCTGGACGAGGAGTCGGTGCTCGAGTCGGCGATCGACGGGCGGATGGAGTTCTCGCAGGCGGTGCCGGCCAGCTACCTGGGCAACATCACCTTCTACAACCAGTCGGCGATCCCGGTGGCGGAGCTGCTGGACCCGGCGGTGCCGCTGGGTCGGGTGGCGCGCGCGATCCGCACCGGTGCCGGCCGCGTCAACAGCGCCAGCCTGCACGAGGCCTACGCGCTCATCAAAGGGGTCGCCGACTTCGCCCAGCTCAAGCCCCGCTTCCGCCGCACCGCCGGCGCCGACATGCTCATCTCCAACCTGCTCCTGTTCCCCGTGGACTCGATCCAGTTCGGCACCCGCCGCTTCGCCAACGAGGGCAAGCCCGAGGCCGTGCGCTGCTTCAACGGGCCCCTCAACGACGTCGCCCGCATCTCGTTCATCCTGCCCCGTCGCAGTAAGGGCGGCATCGAGTTGGCCATGAACCTGTTCGAGGAGGAGATGGATTGTTTGCTCGAGGATGAGGAGTTTAATCGGTTCTGCCTGGAGCTTTAGATTTTTCCGGGGCAGGTGCGAGATTCTTGTAATTAGACTTTCTTGTTTTTGTTTCTTTGTGTGAACGGTTTGTTCTTTGATGAAGCCTTAGATTGCGATTCATGATCTAGCTTAATTTTCGAAATCTATTTCCTATATCTGTCAATTGAATCGAGTATTTCTATCCCAAGCATTGCCGGAGTTCGGATTTCAGGGGAATGCCCTGGTTAGGCAAGGGTCCATCTACCCCGGCCACTGCAATTAAGCGAGTCTCCTCTACCCTGGGTCTTCTACCGCTGCAGCCGTTCCAGGTACAGTGCCTACCGGCTAGTGGACCCAACCTAAGTCAGCGGAGGATAGCCCACCCCGCGCAAGACCTCCGCCGGCCCAATCTCCACCCAGCGCGCCAGGATCTCCTCGCGATCCAGCCACACCGACCCCACCATCCCCGCCCCGTTGACCGCAACATCCGGCCGGTACCGATCCTTCGACCGGGGGATCACCATGATCCAATCCTCGACCAGGATCACATTGTGCGGGATACTCCCCTCCCCATCGCCTGCACCTCTGTCGCTGAACGCAGGACGCATCTCCGCCAAAAGCCCGAGGTACGCATCCAACACACGCTCAATATACGCCTGCTCCTGAAATTCCGAGCGCGACAACGGAGCGCGGAAATGCGCAAAGGGGATGTCGCTGGATTTTGGCGTGGGATTATTCGGGAGGATGGTTGGCCCTGGTGCCTTGGTGTCGACATTTACACCCTTCTCTACGGTAGGCAGCTCAATGATTTGATCTATTTCTTCCTCGTCATCAACACAAGGGATGATATGCATGTGCTTGTGCTGGCGACTAGCGCCCGCCGTGCGCCCGCAGTTGAACATGGCGAAATAGCGCCGACCGTTGTCCTGACCCAATGCGCAGAGGACGGCGCGCGCAGCTTCGAGGTCCTCTCGATCCAAGTTCTCGTGCTGGCGGCGGTACGAGTCCTGGGTAAGGAGGAGGAACTGCGGCCGGAAGACGCTGTAGCCGTTCGGGACGAGGATGTGGGTCGTGTGGATGGTGGCGATGATGAGGTCAGGCGTGGGGCAGGCGAGATCGCTACCCGGGCCGAAGGTTGCTGGTTTGGAAGATGCATCGTTGTTATCTTTATTATCGCTGTTGCTGCTGTTATCGTTATTGTTGCTGCTACTGCTGTGGTTGGTCCTGTTTTCGTTGGGCGGCTTCAGACCCTCGCCAGATTGGGGTTTGTTGGTGAGAGATTGGCTGATTCGAAATTCGAACTAGGTTCGCGAAGTTAGATCGGTGAAACTTAAAAGGAATGGTGGGTTATGTACGTGAAAATTGTCAACTTTGAGGCGCACGATCTTGGAGGGGGAGTAGACGACGAGGCTTCGGCGGACTAATGCGTCGAACTCCGATAGGGCTGCCGCGTTGGTGAGGGTCGACAGGTTATGTTTAGCGCTAAAGGATGGGGAGGAAACGGTCACTTCATTATCGATAGCCATATTGGGGATAGACGTTGATGTGAAGGACATGACATGCAAGCACGAGCAGGATGTGTGCAGAGTGGAAAGACTCGGTAGGTTGATTAGCAATGCTATGCTAGCAAGGGGGCTGGGATCCGGATAAGGCTGGAAAGGGCCATAATGCAGGAGTGGGCGCCCATGCGGGCTGTGGCGCCCGTCTCGGGTCCCGACCTCGGTCCTTAGCCGGGTGTTGTGTCGGGGCGCTTGGACGCTTGCATCGAGCCGCTGCCTCTATTTGAGCTTCCACTTCCCTCGATGCGTCAGCCTGTCGCATGTTGTTGACTTTTGTAGCAGGCAATCGCAATGATTCCAGAGCCAGTTTGGAGAATTGGGATGCAACTCAATGGAGGTAAGTTATAGGATTGCAGGTGGGCAGGCAAACTAAGATGTGATAGAGACCCGAGCAAGAAAACAAATACGTTGGAACATCATGTGAATTAGAGCAGAGGTCTGATGAGTGTTCGTATAGAGTGCAGTGAGATGATCTTAAAGTCTTTCGAGCTACTCTGACTTCCAACCGGGGAAGACTCATCTGATATGAGGGTCACGAGCAACTGCCGATAGTCCACGCAGTGCAGAACGGCGGGCCGGCAGCATGCTTATTTCCAGGAAGAGGTGGGATCCGCGGCAGAATGTAGCTGAAAGCGGTCAGAGGAGTGGACAGGGGCTCACCGCCGGGGTTGGAACGGAATTCAGAGGGCAGATCGCCCAGTCTTGGCGGCTCGGATTTGGAGCTGCGCTCTCTGGGTGAACACCGGTGTTTCCACAACTCAACAGGAATTTGCTTCGGATTTCTACCAGAGACACACTCGACAACATGCGATCGGATTCTTTCTTCTGTAACACCTCGAACCTCGTCCCTGCAACGTGCTCGGACGGGATTAGCAGGAAACACGACCCCCATCCTCAATCAGCGATGAGCCATACTTAAGACTCTCACCTGTATAGTTCGTCCAAAAAAAAATGCCGAAGATCCAAACACAGACCGGATGCAAGATGATACGGTCACCAACTCTCGACCATGCATCCCCCTACACCTCCACCATGAGTGTCATGGAGGAGGGGGAGAGCATCAACAGCGACCTGCCTCCGAGTCGCAAGACCCGCGACAGCTGCGACGCCTGCGCCAAATCCAAGGTGCGCTGTGGCAAGCAGCATCCACGATGTGATCGATGTGTGGCACGCAACAAGCCCTGCAACTACGGCTTCATCCGACCACGAGGGCGGCGACGCCTGTCGCAGATCCCCCCCGGGGGCAATCTCACCCCGGTCACGGACACCCAAAATAGTTCGCCCGACCGGGCGGACCCCAACAACCACAACAACTTTCAGCACATCGACCTCTTCAACACACTGGGCTACCAGGACCTCGAGGCCATCGCAGAGAAGCTCAACGACTACTCTGCGACCGACCGGCTCCTCGCCAATCCGCCCACCAGCGTGGGACACAATGACTTCCAGCTCATCGACGACTGGCAGACGATGGATCAGGAGCTGCAGCGGCTGCTCGACATCACCACCCCGCAAGCCACCCCGGTCCTCGAGGTCACCCCCCACCAATCCAGCTCGCAATCCAGCATCCAAACCGGCCTGTCCTCCCTCTCCACGAGCTCCCCATCCTCCACCTCGTCCCCGTCTCCCAGCATCTCCTCCCTCCACGGTCAATCCTGCATCACCCTGACCTTCAACACCCTGCAAGCCCTCCACCCCCCGTCGGACAAATGCGTGCTCAACTCCAACGCACCGCCGCCCCGCAGCCTCGACGCCGTCCTGCACCTCAACCAGAAAGCCATGAGCAATCTCTCGCTCGTCATCGGCTGCCCCTGCTCTCTAGACTTCAGCTTCGCGCCTCTCATCGCGCAGGCCATCTCCAAGGTCCTGATCTGGTACCAAGCCATTCTGGACGGCTGCGAGGCGATCCCCGAGATGGCGTTCATGCAGCCGATCACGGCGCCGACGCGCGTGCGCGTCCTTCCCATCAAGATCGGCCAGTTCGAGCTCAGCGAGGGCGACCACCGCCGCATCGTCGCGCAGATGGTCATGAACGACCTGGAGAAGGTGCGCGGGCTGGTGGAGAGCTTCACGCAGTCGTACTGCCGGCGCGAGGCCTCGCCCACGGACGCGGACCAGTCCATGTGCTTTATATTGGAGTCGGCGCTGCGGCACAAGTTGAATGATACCCTTGGTTCTGCGGTTTTGAAAATGACGGATTGAGCTTTTGGAGGGTGGGTCGGGTGTTCGATATGGGGGGTTCTTTCGGGTTACGTGTATATGGAGTTGGAGTTGTGGTGTTTCTATTGGGGGGGGGCGCTGCCTGTTGTATTATTCCCAATGATGATGATTTTTGATGAGCAATGGATTTCTTATTTCTTTTCTTGGTGCTTGAGCTTTGACTGGGGATTGTTTGCGACTACTGGGAAGGGTGGCGTGGTTCCCTGTATATTGCCTTGATGCTATAACTTATAGAGAAAGACTAGAGAAGCGGACTGCGGAGTCTGACTACGGGAGCAGCAGCGCATCGATCTATCTGTACCAATTCAATGGGATTGTTATGGTCTCTTTCTAGGTTTGTTTCCTCTAGATTTAGAATCGGTAAATGCAGAACCACTAAACTGTGGGCGATGGAAAATCAAGACCTCATCTTTCAAGCAAGACTCATGCTCTCTTCCGTCCCTACGGGACCCTCAAAGGTTAGGTGGCCATACACAAATTCTTCCCATTTCCAAGTCCATGCATAGTTACATTAGGAATAAGGTGGCGAGCATTACAGCAAGAGCTTAAAAGAATGAACTCACTTGACCGTCATGTTTTAGTCAAACGCTGGAGGAGTGGCTAAAGGTCTCTGCTCATCCGCGCAGACGTCGCCTCTACATGTAACATAGTGATAAGCTCGCGTTCGCAATTCAAGGATAATGATTCCAAACTAAGGATCTAAGAATTCCAAACATAAGTCTATTCAAGTAATCCGCGCTCAAACGGGCACACTTTCGGCACAAACCACCACTACTTCTTATCGATTCGCAAACGTCTGCAGGTATAGATGGTTGGTCATGAATTCTTCAAGTACGAAGGTCTAAGCCCCTCTGGAATTATGTAGTACATACAGTAGCATGGGGACCAACCAACGACAGCTAGCAGACTCCGAGTGAAGTCCGGCCCGGAACTGCCCGGATTGTCCTTGTTTGTTGACGGATTGAGACTAGGCACTACTAGGTAGTCCGCCAGGCGAGTGAGCCGCGCACTGTTGCTATGCTACCCAGCTAAGGTACTCCAGGTCTGGACCACGTCACCACGGGTCTGGCTCTCTTTAGTTCAATTCCGCAATCCCAACGCCTCAAGCTGACATAAGAAAGAGCCTGACAATCCCTAAGTCCGGGGACCGGGTTTGGTCGGAGATTTTTCAGACCCAGAATCTGGTAAGGTAGGTGTCTTCAGCACAACAGCTTACTTGCATTAGCGTGGCACTATTCCCCCCCATCAGGATCCACTAGTTTACTTGTCGGTTGGCAGTTGTCATCATTACTGTTCTACCAAGCACGACGAAAACAAGGAAGATGGAGAATGCTTTATCTCAGATAGGAAACCGTGGTATTATCATTACTAACAGAAGCCAGAAATCTATGGACAAGTAACAGGAACAGAAACGCCGGGCCCAGTCATAAACACAGTCCACCATAAGGTGAAGGTGGAGTCACACCGTCAAGGTGGTACACAGCATGCGGTCGACGAGGGGGGTCTGTTGCAGGAAGCCCGTCTGGAACGTGATCTGGGCGTTGGTGTCGGCGACGGGGGCGTGCAGGGCCCAGAGGCGGCGGGTGAAGTCCTGGCGGGTCTGGCGGATCATCTCGTCGATGTTGTAGCTCCAGATGTGGCGGGAGCGCGAGTCGATCTCGTGGCAGATGTGGGCGGGGTCGCGCGAGTGCTGCCACTCGTACATCTCGCCGACGAAGCGGGAGGACTGCATGAGCCACTGGGTGCGCTCGAGGCGGATGTGGTCGTAGGTGGCCAGGGCGGCGGAGAGCAGCTCCGGTAGGCGGTGCGGGCAGGCCGCGCGGGCCGCCTGCGAGTGCACCGCCTGCAGCAGTTCGACCAGGGCGGCGGCGTCCTCGATGCCCATGCCCGCCCCGGCCCCGTGGTGCGGCGCCGACGCGTGGGCGGCGTCGCCCGCCAGGCACACCCGCCCGTTCACATAGGTCGGCGCCGGGTTGGCCGCCATGTCGAAGATGGCCCAGCGGTGCAGCGTCTCCGGCAGCAGGTCGATGATCCCCCGCGTGAACGGGGTGAAGTGCTCGAACGCCTTCACCGCCTCCTGCTTCGTCGCCATCGCCGTCAGCTTCTCCTCCGTCCACTCCCCCTCGTCGTGCACGAACGCCACCACGTTCAGCAGCAGCCCGCTGGCCACGGGGAAGGTCAGCATGTGCGCCCCGGGCCCCATGTACATGTGACGGTTGTAGGCCCGCTCGTGGCCCAGCAGCGGCAGCGCCTTCTCCATCGGCACTAGACCCCGGAAGGCGTACTTGTGCGTGTAGCCGGCGTGGGCGGCCGGGTGGTTGTCGCCCAGCACGAGGCGGCGGACCTTAGAGTGGATTCCATCGCAACCGACGACTGCATCCAGTATTAGCCATTGCTTTTTTTTATAATAAAGGGGTAGAACAACTCACCAAGATCCGCCTGCGCAGTAGTCCCATCCTGAAACCGCATCAGCAGCTTCTTGTCGTCGCCGCGGTCCTCCACCGCGACCAGGCTCTTCCGGAACTTGACCCGGTTCTCGGGGATGAGGTTGAGCATCTCGTTGAGGAACTCGGCGCGGTGGCACCCCTCGAAGCCGCGCTCGCCCACGTACATCTTGTAGATGGGCTCGTCCAGGTCGCCCTCCTCGCGGTTGCCCGAGTTGGACCAGGTGAACCAGTCGGTGGTGTTCTGGACGGCGACCTTCTTGAAGGCGGCGTGGATGGCCGGGTCGAGCACCTTCATGGCCGACTCGGCGTTGGGGGTGAAGCCGATGCCCGCACCCACCTCGCTGAAGGCGTTGCTGCGCTCGTAGATGGTGACGTTGATGTCGCGGGCCAGGAGGCCGATGGCCAGCGCGGCGCCGACGATCCCGCCGCCGACGATG